GGTGACTTGTCGAATCGCATGGCCTTTGAGCCGGCGATGTTCCATTCAAATTTCTGCCCTATCAACTTTCGATGGTAGGATAGAGGCCTACCATGCTGGTAACGGGTGACGGAGAATTAGGGTTTGATTCCGGAGAGGGAGCCTAAGAGATGGCTACCACATCCAAGGAAGGCAGCAGGCGCGTAAATTACCCAATCCTGACATAGGGAGGTAGTGACAATAAATAACAATACTGGGCTCTTTCGAGTCCRGTAATTGGAATGAGAACAGTCGTAAACTCCTTGAACGAGGATCCATTGGAGGGCAAGTCTGGTGCCAGCAGCCGGGGTAATTCCAGCTCCAAGAGAGTATATGTAAGTTGTTGCAGTTATAAAGCTCGTAGTTGGATTCTGGGTGGGAGGGGTTGGTCCGCTCTTCCGGGCGTGTACCGGCCCTTTCGCCTTTCTTGCCGGGTATGCGTTCCTTGCCTTTATTGGCTGGGATCCATAGCCGGCGCTGTAACTTTGAAAAAATTAGAGTGTTCAAAGCAGGCCTGTGCTCTGAACATATTAGCATGGAATAACGCGATAGGACTCCGGTCCTATTTCGTTGGTCTTCGGGATTGGAGTAATGATTAATAGAGACGGTTGGGGGCATTCGTATTCCATTGTAAGAGGTGAAATTGTTGGATTTATAGATGACGAACTTCTGCGAAAGCATTTGCCAAGGACGTTCTCATTAATCAAGAACGAAAGTTGGGGGATCGAAGACGATCAGATACCGTCCTAGTCTCAACCATAAACGATGCCGACTAGGGATCGGCGGATGTCTATTGGATGACTCTGCCAACACCTTGTGAGAAATCAAAGTTACGGGTTCCGGGGGGAGTATGGTCGCAAGGCTGAAACTTAAAGGAATTGACGGAAGGGCACCACAAGGCGTGGAGCCTGCGGCTTAATTTKACTCAACACGGGGAAACTCACCAGGTCCAGGCATAGCAAGGATTGACAAATTGAGAGCTCTTTCTTGATTCTATGGGTGGTGGTGCATGRCCGTTCTTAGTTGGTGGAGTGATTTGTCTTGTTAATTCCGTTAACGAACGAGACCTCAGCCTGCTAAATAGCTACGCGGGGACCTTTCCTCGTGGCCAGCTTCTTAGAGGGACTGTTGGACGACTAGCCAACGGAAGTTTGAGGCAATAACAGGTCTGTGATGCCCTTAGATGTTCTGGGCCGCACGCGCGCTACACTKATGAATCCAACGAGTCGCTTTCCTGGGTCGAAAGGCGTGGGTAACCTTTTTAAGGTTCATCGTGACGGAGACAGATTGTTGTAATTATCGATCTTGAACGAGGAATGCCTAGTAAGCGCGAGGCATCAGCTCGCGCTGATTACGTCCCTGCCCTTTGTACACACCGCCCGTCGCTCCTACCGATTGAATGGTCCGGTGAAGTGTCTGGATTGCGGTGATCTCGGCGGTTTGCCGCTGGGGGTGCTGTGAGAAGTTCATTGAACCTTATCATTTAGAGGAAGGAGAAGYCGTAACAAGGTTTCCGTAGGTGAACCTGCGGAAGGATCATTGACACGTGAATGGCCGATCTTYGGGGTGTGGGACGCTGGCTTGCTCGCCCTTCCGCCGCCCTTTGCCCCCATCCTCCCTGCATCGGCTTTTCTGTTTCGTTTCAGCACTATCTAGGGCTTAGTGCCCAGCTGGCGGCTGGCCCGGCGCAAAGGGGCGCGTGGTGTAGGTCGAGAGTGGGGGGAGTGGGCAAGTCCAGGGCCTTGTGGCATTGCTCCCCCTTCATCCCGTCTCGCCTCCGCAGGTTGTTACCTCGGCCCAGCCATACTCTCGACTTCTGGTCGGGATGGCGGTTGGTCCAAGCACGGACAGCCCTGCGGGAGGGTCAGGGGTGTGATGTCTGGTGGTGGCGGCTGTCCTCGGCCTGCATACCCCCGCTCCTTCCCGTCTCAGCTTTGTCCAGACCTCCTTTCCATCCCGACCTCGACCTAGGCTTCGTGCGGAGCTTGTGGCTTGTTTGGGGATCGAGGGTCGTGGTACAGGCTAGGGGCGGGGTGTGTTGCTGGGTCCTCAGCCCCTCTCCGTTTCGTCCTACCTTCCTTCTCGACGGGCTTCTCCTTTCCGGACAGATCGTCGTCCTCGACGCAGTCGAGGTGGTCTGAATCTCGGGGTGGAGGGCCGTTGGGGGAGGGTTTTGGTCGTGAACGTGGTAGTGTCGGGTTGGGGGGGCGGGCAGGAGACAGCGCTTGCACCCTCGTTGCCCCGCTGCTCCCCAGTGCCCTGCCTGGCCCCCCGAACGGGGGATCGGGCGGACCCGTGGCAAAGGCTGGTTACGACGGCTTTGCAACTTCTTATTGATGTACCTGCTCTGATTTGTCGCTGTCCGGGTTGACGGCGCCCTTCTGTTCTGGTCGAGGGGTCGGTCCTGTCAGAACGGCACCATATTGCAGAACTCTCAGCAAACAAATATCTTGGCCCTCGCAATGATGAAGAGCGCAACGAAATGCGATACTGAATGTGAATTGCAGAAATCCGTGAGCCATCGATACCCTGAACGCACGTGGCACCCGAGGCTTCTGCCGAGGGCACGCCCGCCTGAGCATCATTGGATTCCTCACGACCTYAGCACCTTCCGTTTCGGAGAGTGGTGGGGTCCGTGGTCGTGGCTTCCCTCGCTTCGCGCTTGGAGAGTGTCGATAGCCTAGAGTGAAAGGGAATTGGAGAGCAATCCGAGCGGGCCTGTGGGGGCCGCAGCCCAGAGTGGTGBGTTTCGCTCCGCCCTGTTGTTGCCCTCCAGCACCCATTTGTGAGTGGTGGTCTTCGTTTCCCTGAAAACGGCACGTAAGGTCGTCCCTCCGGTTTGTGTGGTCGCCGCCTTCCGTTCGCTTCCATCAGCTTGAGGTTGGCTTGCGGTTGGGGGTGTCGGCCTCGAGCTGTGGAGGTACGTCGGGCCTTGCCTTTTGATCTCAGGTCGGGCGGGAGCACCCGCCCAATTTAAGCATATAACTAAGCGGAGGAAGASAAACCAACGAGGATTCCCTTGTTAGAGGCGAGCGAACCGGGAATAGCCCAGACTGAAAATCCGGGGGTTGTATTGCTCCCTGAATTGTAGTCTTGAGAGGCAACCTCTGCAGCGGGCCGTGTGCAGGTTCCCTGGAAGGGGATGCCGAAGAGGGTGACAGCCCCGTCGACCGCCGGACCCTGCAGCGCAACGAGGTGTTGTCCAAGAGTCGGGTTGCTTGGGAATGCAGCCCCAGTTGGGTGCTAAGTCCCATCCAAGGCTAAATATGCGCGAGGGACCGATAGCGAAGAAGTACCGCGAGGGAAGGATGAAAAGAACTTTGAAAAGAGAGTTAAAGAGTGCTTGAAATTGTCGAGCGAGAAGCGGATGGAGGGGAAGTCGTGCGCTCCCGTCTGGGCAGGGGTGGACGGCGACTGTGTTGTCGCCCCCCTTGTTGGACGTGGGGTGCCTGCCAGCTTGGGCTGCTGTGACCGGCATTGCGGTGKGGAGCGATTGAAACCCCCCACGGGTGGCCGTCACGGCAGTCGAGGACGTTGAGCAGGCGCCTCTTTCGGCGGGCCCGTTCGGGTTCCTGCGTGTTCGGGATGCTGGCGAAATTCCTCTATCCTGCCCGTCTTGAAACACGGACTGAGGAGTTCAACGTGCATGCGAGCCGGTGGGTRATTAGCCCACGAGGCGGAAGAAACCAGAGTGGCGGGAACCCTCTGCGGGTGCACCGTCCGCCAACCCCGATCTGCTGTGAGACGTTTGAGTGTGAGCATGCCCGTTGGGACCCGAAAGATGGTGAAGTATGCCTGAGAAGGGCGAGGCGAGAGGAAACTCTGGTGGAGGCTCGCAGCGATACTGACGTGCAAATCGTTCGTCAGACTTGGGTATAGGGGCGAAAGACTAATCAAACCGTCTAGTAGCTGGTTCCCTCCGAAGTTTCCCTCTGGATAGCTGGAGCTGTTGAACAGTTTTATCGGGTAAAACGAATGATTAGAGGCCTCGGGGGTGAAACACCCTCGACCTATTCTCAAACTTTAAATAGGTAAGATTTCGGGGTTGCTTAAGCGAACCCCGAGGATCGATGAAAGCTCCAAGTGGGCCCTTTTTGGTAAGCAGAACTGGCGATGCGGGATGAACCGAAAKTCGAGCTACGGTGCCAAACTGCGCGCTAACCCAGACACCACAAAGGGTGTTGATTGATAGAGACAGAAGGACGGTGGTTATGGAAGTCGAAATCCGCTAAGGAGTGTGTAACAACTCACCTGCCGAATCAATCAGCCCCGAAAATGGATGGCGCTGAAGCGCGCGACCTATGCTCGGCCGTCGCGGCGATTCTGACGCCGCGACGAGTAGGAGGGCGCGGGGCCTGCTGCGAAGCCTGGAGCGTGATCCTAGGTGAAGCGGGTCCCGGTGYAGATCTTGGTGGTAGTAGCAAATATTCAAATGAGAATTTTGAAGACCGAAGTGGAGAAGGGTTCCATGTGAACAGCGCTTGGACATGGGTCAGTCGGCCCTAAGAGATGTGGAAACCTTGTATCAAGGGCACCGCACATCGAAAGGGGTCGGGTTAATATTCCCGAACCGGGTTGTGGACGTGGATGTTAAGGTAAGCAGCTCCGGAGATGCCGGCGGGGGCCGTGGGGAGGGTTCTCTTTCCTTCTTGACGGCTCACCCACCCTGGAATCGGATCAACCGGAGATAGGGTGCAGCGCCCGGCAAAGCACCGCGCGTCCTGTGGTGTCCAGCGCGCCCCCGACGGCCCTTGAAAATCTGGAGCTGCGGGTACCTCTCACGCTAGGTC